GGCCATCCCAAGCTCACGGAAAGTGAGGCTAAACTGTCTGCAGAGATGGGAAGGTTGCATTTGTTGTGTTACGGTGCACTTTCAAGTGAAGCGGAGGCGAAAGGGCAGCTCCTATTTAAGGTCCGCCCAAAGCATCACTATTTCATTCATCTTTTAGATGAATTGACACGGTGGAAATCAAACCCAATGGGGCAATCCAACTTTGTTGATGAAGACAGCATGAAGCACCTTCGAGGTCTTTCGCTCGGCTGTCATGCCTCTACAGTGCGAAGATCTTGGGGGAAACGCTATGTGCTGAAACAAGTTCTTCTTTGGAGACGGTTACAGCTTGACAGACGCAAAGCGGTGAAAAAACAGTGCGAAAGAAACTGGCGGCACGTTTGTTCTTTGCATCCTTGCTGGCAACTTGTTTGTTTCACATGTGTGACCCCTGGCATTTCCTGTGAACACTAGCATTAATGAAACAAATTTCCTTGTAGCGCAACCAAGCAAACAAACTGGTAGCGAGTGTGGTGTATTCTTGCGCGTGACAAGAACTTTTTGACACGTTTTTGACATTGAAAGTGTGAACCTGACAAGATTTTGCTCCGCTACCATCTGAGACACAAGTGAGAAAAGGATACCGCAAAAATGTGCAGAGTTTTGCCCCGCTACCACTGAAAGAGTGACGCGTATATAACATGCAGCGCACAAACAATTCTATATCCTGTGCATAGTGGTAGTGGAGCTTGGTATTGGAGCTTCAAACCGGCTGGAAACATGCTGCAGTCAGCAAAATACAACCCTCAGCCAGCCGAAATACACCCCTGTGCCGAGGGATGTATTATTGCTCAAAAAATGTATGTTGGCCTTTTGGGTCGTATTATATACAACTTTGGGTTCTCCAGGTTGGTCGGATGAGGCTCATCCTGCTCGGTTGAAAGTTGGCGTGTTGGGCTCATAGGTGTTGTTGCAAGATTGTTGCCAGCCTCAGCCTCCAGCCGTGGTTGGCATTCCCCATCTTCCGATGAGGCCGGTTGCATTCGAGATCGCAACCCATTCAGTGCACTCCACAGTGCATCTAGGCGCCCTCTCACTCGGCCTGCGCCTTCTCCTCCTTGATCTCCGGCTTGGCCGTGTCGAGCACCTCCTGACCGTCTCCTCCAAGTCCAGGACCTTCGGCATCATTCCGGATGATCTCGTCACCTTCTCGGTCTTCGCTTCGGTCTTGTCGACAGATGCCTGTCCCTTGGATGTCGGTCGAATCGGTGATGGGGATCTCGGTGCGGGACTTGTCGTTCTCTTTGGAGACTTCTTTGGTGTCCTGGTCGTTCCACATGCCGAGGAGCTCATCAGTGCCTCGCCCAGCTTCTCGTCCGCCCTCACCTGGACTGTCGTCCGGCCATAGCCACCCGACTCCACCAGGGTCCTTCCGCGCAGTTCCATCAGCTTCCCGTTGAAGATCTTCTCGTTCATCTCCATTGCAGTGAACTGTTCTCGGAGTTCCTGCTGCGCCGCGTTCACCATCTCTGGAGTCGGACCAATGGCTCTCGTCTCGCCGTGTCCAGTGCCCTTGGTGATGTACCGGAGACGTAGTCCGCACCGGCTGCATGCCTGCCAGGCCGCATACTTGTTTGCTCTCTCCTTCCCTGGATGATGCTGTCCCATGCAGGGCCAGCCAACATGGCGAGGATCCATGTCGGTGGAAGGAGGGCATACCTTGGCTTTCATCTCCGGATAGTCCAGAGGAGCGTGTCCGCAGGTCACGGAGTCGTTGAGCCAGAGCTAAGGCGTTCACCAAGATCAGGTGCATCATGTTCTCCATGGATCATCAGGACTGACTCCTCTCTCACAGGACCTTCAACATGTGGACCAGCCGACTGACACTCATCATGCTCTAGAATCTCTTAGCTGTCATGAAGAACATGAGTGACTCGACGTTCAGGTGCATCCACAGGCTGTTCAATGTCCGCGTCCATCGTCTCATGGTTGTCATCGCCACGTCTCATGTCATGTCCGAGCAACTGAGGTGGACGAGATCTCTCCGGTGGCAGCTCTGTTTCAGGCTCGGCCGTAGCTCCAGCGAAAATGGGTGCATCCAGGCCTGCAGCATTTGCAGAGGGTGCTGACATCAAAGGCGGTCCTTCGACCTCCACTGAAGGAGATTGCACGACCGATGGAGAAAGGTTCTCATCCGTCTCAAGAGCGTCGGCTCCCTCATGCGCACTTGTCGCACCCCTAGGCCCCTAGTAGCTGCCGTCGTAGCCGCCAGCAGTCCGGCTGTTGGATCAACCGGAGATCGAGGAACTGGCGTCGGTCGGTTCCTCTTTCTCTGACCAGGTCCACTCTGGTCGTCACCACCACTGTCATCATCTTGTTCATCATCTTCAGGTGGCCAGCGAGTGCCCGGGTTGTTGTTGAACCGCATCAGCAACATCCTCAAGGGGATTCGATGCTCCTTTAAGTCCAAGATCAAATGTCCGCCACCACGAGCATTGAAGAGCGTGTTGGCCCACCATTGTCCTGTCATTGCACTTCTGTGCGCGAGGTACTCTCCATGATACGAAATCACTGCCTTCCTTTTTCGCATGTCCCTTGAGCCAAGCAGCAAAGGTGTGTTCTCGGCCTTTCCGTCCAGCAAGTAGAAGCTCAGCTTGCCGAAGGAGAACGTGGAGAGGCTGATCTTTGAGATGGCCCGTTGGTGTTCTCCATTCCCGAACCGGAATCGCGGACGATCGAAGAGGTCGATGTCGTAGGGCATCTGGTGTGCGTCTAGCACTCTTGCCATAGCGCGAACTCCAGCCACAGATTCAGTCGCGCCAGTGTCCACGATGACCTTCGAGACCTCCAGGTCCTCAATCGTGTGGTCCTCAGCCATGGAAAGGACGTTCACCTCAGGGTACCAGTACTCGGGGTCATAGTCCGTGAAGTAGGTCTTGCCCTTCCGGATCTTGCCCTTCTTGCCTTTCCCTTTGCTCATCGAGGATCCCTTTGAGGAAGGAGAGGATGAAGGAGTGCCCTTACCTTTACCGCCGCCTCCCCCAGACCACCTGTCAGGACACTTCAGATAGCCATGACCTGGCTGTCCGCAAATGAAGCATGGTCCCAGGCCTCCAGTGCCCTTGCCTTTGCCGTTGGGGTGTCCCTTCTTGCCCTTCGACGAAATTCCCGTGGTGCCCTTCATGCCGGCAGGGTTGTAGTATCCATGGGCGGCTCTGACTCGGGCCACGGCTTGTTTGGCTTCGGTCAAAGTCCTGTTGGCCTCAGTGGCGAGGGTGTAGGCCTCTTCGAGTCTTTTCACCTTCCAGTTCTTCAGCTGTCGGCTCATGATCTTCACCTCCATATAGTCCATCATCACCACCACCAGCGTAGTCGCCGTCATCCTCATAGGCCCAGGTAGAAGACGGTGACCAGTCCGCCCAGTAGGCCTCCTCATCCCAGAAGTTCACCTCCTCAGCCCACATATCATCTTCCCATGCGTCCCAACTCGGATTGGGGTCTTCAGCGTACCACACGGTTCTCCTCGAATGTCGAGCTCCATCTTCTCCGCCTTCAGCGCCATCTGCAAAGAGTGACCTCAAAGCTTGTCTGACGAGCTCGAAATGAGTGCTGTTCTTCGTGAGGGTCATGACATGTTGGCGTTCTGCGGATGAGAGTTTCGAGGCCTTCAGAAGCCTGTAGCCACGCAATTCGTTCTCAAAGAGCCCGGCATTGTCTCTGGGAGGTCCAGGTTCCGCAGCTCTGAAGTCCGCTTCTTCTTCTCGTTCAGCTTGTCGGCCAAGCGTCACATTTGGTGATCTTGTGGGAGATGTCGGAGGATCGTGTTCTGAGGCTCCAACTCCCATTGACCTCACCTCATGCTTCAAGCGCTCAGCCCTTGCTCTCTGCAAAGCTTGTTGAAGCTCAACAAAAAGCTCTTCTTCTCGGACCAGGAGCTGTGGTATGGGCTCACTCCCATTGCGGCGTAGCCCAGTCCACTTCTCTAGCCTGCTGAAGCTGTCCGGGATGGGCAGCTTTTGGAGCGGGCTTTCTCTCAGCACGCCCAGGAGCTTGTTCATCCCGGTCTCGGTGGCGAAGTCCTTCGGCTCGAGGTGCTTGACCACGGACTTCGCTGCCCCCTCCAGCTTCTGCCAGATCCGCGGTGCCGCGAGCTTCCGCTCCGAGTCCTTGAGACTCGCTTCATACCACCTGCACGAGTTGGCGAAGCTTTCGAACCCACTTGGGTCCCCATTCCATGTTGGAATCTCCTCAGGCATGGCCACCAGCGTCACCAAGATCACCAGCAGCTCCGCCTACCATGAAAGCGGTCCCCAGCAATGGGGAAACACGAAGGCCGTCGTGGCCAAACGCTCGCGCGCGGGCGAGCCGATCTCTTTCCGGCTCAAAGGTCTCGAGCCCACCGCTCTTGATGGGAAAAAGGTCAAACACATGTCAAAAACATGCCATGCTCACAAGTGACTTTTGGGTGACTACGGGGCCTATACACGGCACACTGGAAACAAACCTTCGCAGCTGCCTTGAGAAGCCCTCACAGCGATACCTTTGCAAAATAATCACCAAAATGTTACTTCCATGCGCCTGCCCGAACGGGCACGCGCCTCACCATCGAAATGCACCAGTGCCAGTAACCACCACCACAACCCTCCAATGGAAGTGACCTTCTGCCTTCAAGTAAACCAGTCCTCCCACCACAGGCAAAGCTTTTTGACTGTGCACCCCTGTCCAGTCACGGGAAACGCTGCAGATCTGCAACACATCTTGCTCGACTTGGCGGCTGACATAACAAGGTTTCTAGTCTAACAGTTGACGTGCAGCTGCTGAACTAAGCTCGCCCTTTTGGGGGCGTGTGACTTCCCCCGCCTTTGCTGCGTTCAATATCCACCACAGACACTGAGCAACACAGCGAAGCATTGGTGCTTTGGCAAGACGAGGAACCAACAACAACTCGTGAGATGCAAATAATGAGACAAAAGCCCAAACCCACAACAAGTGAAGTGGCACGTTGGCAAGGCTCGTTGCTTTCCACAGCATACATGTCTCCTCGTCTACTAAGCACAGTCCCATCATGAAGAATGCACCAGCGGCATTCGCTAGATTGCATCTCAAATTCATCGCAGCCAGCACAAAGTCGGCGTTCTCGACCCTTTCCTTTTGAACATTGCAAAAAAGGGACCTCAACCAGGTCTGATGGAGCAAAAACAGCAATGAACAAGCTGGCATCAGAACCTGTGACAAAGAAAAAGTTAAAATATGTGGCGCTTGCATAATGCGGGGTCTTTACCTGCTCTCAATTCGCTGGGCGTGCCTGTCCTCTCAGATCCATGACCTCCGCAAAGCATTGAGCCCCTCACACTTGCACACATCTAGCAGCACTGATTGATTGGCACAGAAAAACCTCTCGCCCTATCTCAGGCAGCGGCAGACCAAGACAGTGCCTCCGCGACTTGGATGCAGGAGTTGGAAGCAATGCACCATTCGGGATTCGAGGACTTCGAAGTACCTCACGCCAAGAAGGCAGAAACATCATCATCATCAACGCTTCCGACATACTGGAGATGAGATCCTCAAATCCCCGTTGTTTACATCTCAGCAACTCTAAGCCAACTCTTGGAAGCAATGCCTGCAAAAAGTCCCGTTATCCCGTGTGGAGCTCGAGCCAAGGAACATGCACAACAGAAACTTTGGTTGACAGTGCAGAAATCAGGTCTCAGAAGTGTCTTATGTGCAGAAAAATATGCTCCAAAACAGAGCGGCTTCAACGCAACCGAGGATGGTTCCTCTCACTATCATTTTCTACTCTCCTGCCTTCGCAATGCCTATCCTTGGGGCACGCAGGCCATCCAGTACTCTGCAGCTGTCGGGGCCATTCAAAAACAACTCCTGACAGATGCAGAGAATCTGATTAAGCACGTGCACATCGCGCATATGATTGGCGTCTTCAACGATGAAGAGCATTGAGCTTCACATAGTCCAATTTGCTTTGCAACTGGCTGGAAAAGCTATAAGCAAGGCCTTCTTTAGAGACAGGTTGCATCCAAAGAGAACCTTGACCTTATAAAGCGCGCTGTCGCTGCACGCACAAGAATGCATGCTCGCAACGGTGCACAAATAGTTTTACATCTGTGATCGAGAAGAACTATGATGAAGTCATCCCGTCAACCTGGAAAAACACCTCCTTTGGAGGTGTTGAAGTGTGCACTGGCAGTCTCTGACTTTAAGGGTTACTGGTCCATGACTGATGGAAGCGCATCGGAGTTGACTGGGCAAATTTGGCGCCAGAACATCGGGAATGTCAGTGTACAGCACGGCGGTTGGTATAATACATGCTCTTGAACGCTTTTTGCATTCATCTGCTCCTTTGGCCATTGGCCCGTAAACTTCGTCCCGTCTACAAAATGATATGTGCACGTGGCAAGGACCGCTTTACCGCTTGCCCATGTGCCCTCCAATTTGCTGCCATTCTCATAGAAATGGGTACCATTCTTGCCGTGAATTTGTCCATCTCTAAAGTCTCCCTCAAAGAAGTCGCCGTTCTCAAAGTAGTGCGTGCCTTTGCCGTGTGGCTGGGAGTTTTTCAGCGGTCCTGAATAGAGCTCTCCGTTGGACCACACAATGTAGCCAGGACCCGCTTTAGCAGAAGCCCAAAGCTTCTCAGGTTTCGGTGAGTTGACACGGATGACGATGCCATCGATGTACGCAAAAAGGCCTCAAGTGGCTCAAGCAGCACCCAATATGAATAATTTCACATGTTTACAGAATCTACAGCAACTTCTGAGTGCTGCAACGCCCATCCGGAACCTCCGCAACCTCCCTGCGACAGGCCTTACCAGGGGCAGTAAGTGAAACCAACATCAGCCGCTGGACATCGTCCCCAAACCCAAGGTCCCTCCGTTGCATCTCTAACATACAAAAAGTTTCCCTGAAACAAGCAAGGCTGGGACAACGAATTGCGCCATCCAAAATGCCAGGATTGTTGCAATGGAAAGAATCAAGGTTGCTTACACGTGAAAGCCACACAAACAGAGCGTTGGATGCCACGATGGCATTGCAGTCTCTCAAGGATTGTTTTGAACAGACCTGGAAGTTGGCAGCTGCTCAAAATATCCTGGAATCTGGGTGGTTGTAATGCAAAAAGGCAAAAAGGGAACAAATGATATGACAACCAACAGGCCATGATAGTTGCAAAGTGCCCCTCCTGAGGAGCAATTCAGTTTGCCTTCTAAGTGTCGTTTTCAACAGTCTTGGCAACATAACGTGCTTCCGAAATGCTATGTTTATTTCAGGGAGTGGTCAAGCTGAATGGCCATGCTGGCGCTTGTGCCCTTTGTCGTTACAGGTAAACGACCGACTAGTACCGCAAAGTCGCACCTGTTTTGCCTTGAGCCAAACAAGTAGGTAACAGTGAATGTATAAGGTACACTAGCGTGAAACAACACCACCCGCTGAACGAAAATGGGAGGAGTGAGGTCTATGTACAGTGCATTAATTATGGGCCTACGAAGGTGTGTGGATTCCACCTTCTTTGCCCAATGCTTCCTTCATGACACGCAGGAGGGGCAAGAGAAAGTGCTTTGTCTCAGCAGCTTTTGCCTGCAAGCGCCCATTGTGAGTGGGCTTGGCAGCATCGCAAACCATGGACAGCCTAAGGTTGCTTGATCTTGAGGTAGTTTGCAGCTGAACATACAACTCTTTGGCCCTGGCCAAGACTCTTTGCAACCTTTGGTGTGGGTTGACTCTTTGTCTCTTTCCAGCGTACTAAAGTCGCCAGTTCTCAGCTTCCAGCTCCACAGATTGCTCCGCGTACTAAAGTTGTACTACAAAGTCGCCAGTTCTC